GGTCACACGCTACTAAATGTCTCAGAGTGGATTTGAACACAGGTCTTCCTGGCTCTAAGTCTAGCACTTTATCCGCTGTGTCACCTCTCTACAAGTTTAGGTCCCTTCATACCCTTCCACTGAGTCCCATTTCTCTCTTGGCATTTCCCAGACACATTCTTAGGTACTTCGGTAGGGTCTCCTCAGTTTGGCCATTCTCTCCAATGGACCTAATAGCAATATTCATACCTTCTCATCCTATGTGAATCCTGCCCATATCCTCCCATGAATCCTCTTGTTACTGGTGGTGGTGGTGGTCCTTTGTCTTCAGATGGGACCAATGACATCATGGGGTGATGTCTTGACTTGTGTGTGAATTGGATTTAAGTGAGACAAAGTGGCACAGTTTTCAGCCTCACTCTCTCTCCCAGAGTCATTGAAGCTCAGTGGCAAGATGAAAGTCAAGGAGACTGGCAATGGCCCAGGATGCAATGGATGGGTTATGATCTGCATCACAGACCTCGTTACATTATCCTTCCCCCCCCAAACCCACCCCATAAATCCTCTACAGCTTATCTGCATAACATGCTGGGGGTCTGGAATTCCCACCATTTTTTGATCCTTGAACCCCTTTAATACATACAAAAAAAGTTGTGAAACCCTATGGCAATTTAATATCCTACTGATAATATTCTTTTAGATTTATTAAGTACTTACAATAACAATAACTTTTGTTCCCAAAAACTACAAATTTAAGTTATATAATTACAATAGCATATTATTCCACCTATAATTATGAAAATACTAAATATAAAACTAATTATAAGATAATTACAAATATTTTATGTGGGACATTCTGTAGGAATTAAAATAATTCAACAAGACTTCATATGCTTACTATTATCTACAAAATTTCATATTAAATTTCTTTGTCATACAAGTTTTGTTGAATATAAATAACATTTTAATGAAATCAGTTATAACTTTGAAGATGTTGAACAATATAATAAACACAAATAAACTTAATTTTGATGTTGGACTTTTTATTGGAACAAAAGTTTGAAATATTTGGCTCAACATCAGACAAACATAGTCTTAAATCTGGTTCTGCATCAAGTTTAATTCTGTATTTTGATTTAAGATAAGAATAAAATGAAAATGCTCATTCACACAAATATGTGGTGGAAATTGGAAGGAGAATTTTACAAGCTCTCTTGCTGAAAGATTCATTTTTTTAAAAATTGCCACACAACCAATTGACAAAAATAAATAGCTAGTTATGATATCAACTATTTCATTTTCTACTGGCTAATGACTAGCACTATATTAAATGATAAATGTACTTAAATTTCATTTGCATATATTACTTCATTTCTCACAATGTTTATATTTGACCTAACCTTTTTTAGGGAATGAATCTCTTCAGAGATGACTTTTTTCTCTTCCACCACTGGCAAACTGGATACCCTCTCTGAAACTCTACTGAAAACCTGACCAGTATTACCCAAATAGTTTGTTTGAAAATCTGCCAGATAGAAGAAAAGTAAGAAAAAGCAGAGGATAATTTTAAATTGAAAAAAATAACGTTGATACAGCAAAGAGAGGCAACATCAGTTGTCTTTCTGCAGAACTTCTGTGATAATCAGTGATGGCTTCAAAATTGCTCATAAATGCTCCACGATCATGGTTTTCAACTTGACCGTTGTGCTTCAAGAACACAAACATTCAGAACATCTTGATCATGTGCATCCACAGTAGATGAGGCACTATTTCAGGATAACAGAGGGGAACAGGGGAGCTGTTCTGGTGTAGTCTATGTGAGGGTACGTACATGTATATAAGCATATAATCAGAACCATTTTGCTGTCTGATGTGGAGCCCTTGTGATGGTTTAGAAACAATATAATGGCAGGTCTAGCTACTGTAAGAACACATTGTATTGAGTCAGAAGAGGTCAGGGTTTGATATACTCCTACACAGAAACCAAAATTGTTGTGTACATGATCATGATTGTTTCAATCAAATTATTTCAATAGGTTTGCAGAAGCAAACCTATAATACTTCAAACACGTATATATTTGTTGTCACAGTGGAAAAATATATAAATAATTGAGCAATTCTTTACTAAGGCACCATTAGAGAATTTTTAGCATGAACCCCTGAGCCATTTTGATGAAGCCTCAAATGGGAACCCCTACTTTTTTAGCATTCTGTGGGTAACATGACAGCAGTCAGGCAATCCTTCTGTTAGCCCTATCTCCTGACACGAGTTTGGTCTACCTCCTTTTTTGATCATATGTGTCTTGGATGAAATCTTTTATGCCAACTCTTTTATACAAGATGTCATTAATGTGCAATAGTCAAGTTATGGCTACTACGCACCTTTCGGTGAACCACAATTTTTATTCTTCAGAGATTATAATGTTTAATAATTTGTGTCCATATAGTATCACCAGAATATTGGGGGGGAGGTTGCCTTTAAAGATGAGGGTTGTTTTTGGTTTTTTTGTTTGTGTGTTTGTTTGTTTCTGGGAGAGATCATTGGAAACAATACACAATTTCTCAAATGCAATGCAGATCAACTGGCAAAGATCTTTGCTGATAAAGGAAAGGAAAGAAGAGGATTGCAATTACCTGGATGAATCAAGGGTGGAAAAAAACCAGCATTTTTTTCTTAATTACATCTAACTAATTCAGACAGAAGATGACTTTTCTCCCAAATTCGTGAGGGATTATTTTTGCCTGAATTACAAATATTGTGGTGAAGACCTGGCCTGGGAACAGGGTTTGTGGTAGAGGAAAAAAAGGAACTGGAGTGGTTCCCCTGCCCCACCCTTGCCCAGCTCTGACTGTTTAGGGAAACAGAAGAGAGAGGGAGGAAGAATAAAGGGAGAAAAGGAGGAAGAGTGGAGGGGGGGGAATGGGGGCTCTAGAGTTTAATTAAAACTACTGAAAGGAATGGAACATTATTTTCTCTTATTCTCCCCTTCCCTCAGGCTTTCAAAGGAGAGGACATTTTCTTTTTGCCTTCTCCCCAAAACATTACCAGAGCTGGAAAATGGATTGGTTTGAATTTGTTCTTCTTCCTTTTTTTTCCCTATCCATTCTCATTTAAAGGGGGTTCCAATAAGCAACAGAAGAGCCAAAATATAGAAAAGCTAAAGAATAAACAGAAAAACCTAACTTCTACGTCACCAAGAGATAGCATGAAACAGCAGAATGAGCATGGATGTAGAGTTAGAGGATCTGGGTTCAGTACCCCTGTTAGCAATTACTACCTGTGTGACCTTGGACAGAGCTCTTAAACTCCCTTAGACGTGGTTTCCTCATAAGTAAGGTAAGGGAGTTATAATAAATGACGCATGGGGTCCCTTCCAGCTCTGTCAGCCTATGACTATAGAGATATTCATCAGTGCACAAAGAAAACAGACATGGTCCTTGTCCTCCTCAGAGATTCTATTCCAAATCAGACATCAATGCAGCCATGCTGCATTACAGCATGATCAGAAGTATATGGACACACCTTTTGTCTCAGGACTTCAGAATACCTGAGAATACTGGGAAGCAATGTCATTATTTGGAAAAGGTGAAGAAATCATCATCCAGCATATTTATTATAGACCTACTTTGTGTGGTCATTGTGGTAGACCCTATGGAAACAGAGAAGTAGGAGGTGGGGTCCATGTCTTTGACGTGATTGTGATCTAGTTGGGGAGACAAAGCATACATGTAAAAAGGTAGAAATGAGAGTGTGGAATAGTTATGGCAATAGGGAGAAAGGAAGTGAATGAGAATTGATATAGGAAGAAGATGGATAGAACTTGGTTGCTGATTAGATATGGAAGTTGAGGGAGAATGAAAAATCAAGGATCATTCCCAGGTTACAAACCTGAACGACTGGAAGGACAGTGGTGCTATCAATAGAAAAGAGAATGATTTGCTCAGAGAAACATCTCCTGGGAACATGCTGAATTGAAAGGGCTTACTCAGTTAAGGAGCTGATAATTGGCAAACTGTACAGGCAGATCCACACTGGTGTTCTGTAGGTGGTTGCTTTTATGAGTAGCCAAGTGGTTTACTGAGAGCTTTGTTATAAAGCTAATTCATGGAAATTTATTTAGCTAGAATGACCCTTCTATGGACTGTGGAGGAAGCTCTTTATGAAAGTGTGAAAGCAACCTGGGAACTGACCAGGGAGAAAATGAGGCATTGCAATGGTGATTAGTCAGGCTAAAGGCATTGTGTTAGGGATATCAGTGGTTACTACGAGGAAGATGGAAGATGACTGAGATAAGTAAGATGGAAACCTATGCTTGTGCACGTGTGGACATACACTTTTATACACACACACACAATCTTACACACACATAATTTCCCCAAGCAAGGGTGGATAAAATTCCTCAGGTCTTATCCTCTTTAGGACACTGACCTCTCCTTATTTCCATTAATGTATCTATAGATTTTTTACATACCAACTAGGCATCTTGAAGGAAATTTTTTAAAAATTGTTAAGATGTGGTTCCTGCCCTATAGGAGCTTAAAACCTAGTTATAAAGCCAATCATAACCAAATGGAAAAGATTCAGCACTGTGAAACTACAGAGACAGCAAAGGCTATCTGTTGCTTATATCTCCATTCTTCAAGGTACCCAAACTTAAGCCTCTTAGGTAAGTACAGCACATTTCATTAGGGTGTACACCCAAGAAATCTTATTAATTTTTTATTTTTCTTTTAAAGGCCAATATTTATTAAATGCTCAATCATAAAGGTTGTTGTTTTTATTAATCCAATTAAAAAAACTAATACAAACTTAAGCATCACAAGTATGCATAATACATATATATTTTAAATCTATATTTTAAAATGAAAATCTCTATTTTAAATCTATATTTCAAATTTTTATATAAATCATATCTAAGTAAAAATCTATATATCTCAACCACTTATTTGAGATAGAGTATACACTTGGCACACACCATATGCACACCTGTGCTCAGCATCATCTTTGACCTTTTCCTCACCTCCAATATCCAGTTAGTTGCCAAGTGCTGTCAATTCTATCTCCAAAATATCTCTCAAACATGCCTCTTCCTTCCAACGGCCACCATTCTTGTTCAGGATCTCTCAGACAACTATTATGATAGCTTCCTAACTAATTTCCCTGCTTCTGACTCCTCCTCTCTTCAGTACCTTCTTCCTGTTATTGTTTAAGTAATATTTATTAACAAGTTCTTCTCATGTCACTACTCTTCTTGAAAACGTTCAATGGGTTCTATTGCCTACCATGTAAATCATGAACACGTTACTGCACACTAAAAGCCCTCTATAATCTAGGTTCAATTTCCCTTTGGTCCCCAAGGTTCACATTTCCCTTCTATAAACTAAATTTTAGTAAAACTAGACTAATTCCAGTTTTCTGATCTCATCCTACTCTTCACCATCTCTGTTGTGCTTTCACTTGTACCATCCCTTATGTTTGGAATGCTCTCCCAGCTCTCCCCTCTCCCAGCTACTCTGTCTCTGTCTCTGTCTCTGTCTCTGTCTCTGTCTCTGTCTCTGTCTCTCTCTCTCTCTCTCTCTCACACACACACACACACACACACACACACACACACACACCACCACCACCACCACCACCACCACCACCATCAATATCTGCTGAAATCCTCTCCTTCTTTCAAGCCCCAATTCATTTCCTACCTCCTTGCCTTCCTTAATTATCTCAACCAAAAGTAATCTCTCCCTCCTTGAATTTCCCATAACAGTCTGTTTGGCTTTCTCTTTTACCCTTTATAATCTTATTTCTACTATTTGCATACCAGTATCAACTTCTCCAATTGGATTCCAATATTCACTAGTGGATCCTGAGGATAAACACTGTGACTTATTTTGTCTTTGTACTCCCAGCACTGAACACCATGACTTTCATATATTAAGTGTTTGATAAATGTTGAATTGAATTGAGTCAGCCATGGACTAGAATTAGTAAAAGCTCAGAAGCAGGAAGGAGCATGGTATATTTGAAGTCTGGTAAGGATGCAGATATTTTTGGAGCAATGATGGTACCATGAAAAAATAACAAAATTGGGAACAGAGTCAGTTTAGAGAAGGTAATAAATTAAATTAAAGATAACAAGTTAAGGTGATGGTAGGTCTAGGGACTGGACTTGAGATTTCTTTGTATGGGGAACTCTTGACTGAGGAAACTCCCTCCACCAACACTTCCGGCAACTTCTCTTCAATATAGCATTCCCTGGAATACTAAGAGATTAAATTACTTGCCCAGGATCACATAGACCAGTGCTTCTTAAACTGTGGGTCATGATCCCATATGGGGTTGCGAAAAATTTGGCAACAGTAAAAGGTTTCTAAATGTACAGTGACCAAAAATTGATTAGAAATCAAACACATAATGAATCCAAAGTGTTTCTGTCAGCGCTTGGCTATCTTGCATCATGCAACTTCACTGCAGTGTTGGTTCTGAACACAAAGCATGTACACTTTGCACTGCTCATACCCTCAGGCCGCGCAATGCCAACAAATGCTGCCAAAATGCAAAAGGAGTGACAAGTGGAAAAAGTTTTAAGAAGGCCTGGTATAGACAATATATGTTAGAGACATAACTTGATCCCAGGTCTTTCTAGTTCTGAAGTCGGTTATCTATTCACTATGTCATGCTGCTTCTTGGTAATGATATGCTATTCAAATGGGGATATTCTATAGAGAATAGAAAATTTAGGAATAAGGCACTGGTGAGAAATTCAAGGTTTGAGAGGCAATAGAATGAGTGAGTGTGAGGACTGAAGGTATGAGAATCAATGAGCTTTTCAAAGAAATTTCTGAGATAGGAAGGAGGTGCATTTGAGCTGGTTCTGGAGGGGAGCGTAGAACTAAGACAAAATAAAAAGAAGAAGGAGTACAATCTAGGAAGGAGGGATGACAGAGCCAAAGGTATAGAGATGAAAATGAACATGACTTTCTTTTTTTAGTTGCTTTTTAAAAATTTTTTTTATTGTTTTTTCTTTTTTTTCATTTAATTACATGTAAAAAAATTTAACATTCATTTTTAAAAATTTTGAGTTCCAAATTCTCTCTCTCCCTCCCCACCTTGAGAGGGCAAGCAATTTGATGTAGATTGTACATGTAAAGTCTTGCAAAACATATTTCCATATTAGCCATGTTGCACAAGAAAACACAGATAAAAAAAGAACACAAGAAAAATAAAGTTTTTAAAAGTATGCTTCCATCAGCATTCATACTCTATCATTTCTTTCTCTGGAGTTGAATAGCATTTTTCATCATAAGTCCTTTGGAATTGCCTTAGATCATTTTATTGCTCAGCATAGCTAAATCATTTACAGTGGATCATCATACAATATTGCTGTTACAGTATACAAGAATACGACTTCCTTGAAGGACAAATGGTCAACTAGCCAGCTTGAGCAGACAGTTCATGTGGATTATAGAGTAATAATCTGAATCAAGTTTGTATAGGTAGCATACAGTGAAACAAGGGAAGAATAAAATACAATATAATTAACATATATATTGATGTAAAGAAGAAGGAGGATGGTGGTGCTTACACCAGACAATTTTGATCCTCTCAAAGAAACAAGAAGAAAATCTATCCTATTAGATTCTTGTCTCTATGGGGCAGAATTTCATCTCACAAAAATTTTATATAACTCACCTACCACATAGCAAAGTGCTCTGCAAATGGTATGGTCTTAATAAATATTAACTGAATAGATATCATTAGCATAGATCATCCAAAATTGACTCTATCAAAAAAAATCTATAATTATTTAATTTCAACAAATATATGCTGAGAAAAACACTGTGCTAGACACTCAGGATAGAAAGACAAATATAACATTGGTCTTACTTTCCAAGAGCTTACAACCTAACAGAGAGGTGGGGGAAAAAGATATGTATTCAAATAATGTTATGCAAGAAGGAGTGTGATAAACAAAAGGGCAAAAGAGCTTAGAGAAATTTGAGAAGAAATAGATTGCATACCTTAAAAGAGATCACAGTACATAAGGACTGGCTGAAGGAAATCTGAATGTTTAACTTGGAGAAGAAAAGATTTGGGGAAGAAATGACAGGTTTCTTCCAATATTTGAAAAACTACCATATTAAAGAGAGATTAAACTTGTTCTGCTTGGCTATAGCGAGAAAAACAAGAAACAATGGACCCTCGGGAGCTATCCAGCTCATCCCCACTCATTTTGCGAAGGAAGAAACTGAGGCCCAGAGAGGTTGGGTAATTTGCCCAACATAACCCTCAAAGGCAAGTTTTTTCTGATAGTGGAGCTAGTGTTCTTTCCCCTGTACTATGGTGCCAGCGGTTTGATATAAAGAAAATTTTCCCAACAATTAAAGCTGTTCAAAAGTCCAATAGGTTCCCTTCTAATTGGTTGTGGTTTTCAAGAAGAGTTTGATTGACCACTTGAAATGAATGTTATGGAGTATATTCTTGTTCAAGTATGGATTAGACTCCATGGCTTCCATGGTCCCCATTGCCTGATTCTGTGATTAAGTATTAAGGTAAACAGAAGGGCATGAAAAAAGAGTTGGGGTTCATATAGATAGAAATATTTTTTGAAGCAGTCACTGTGGAAATTTGGCAAGGAATAGATGAGGAACAAATAGAGGGATTGATGAAAATGATAATAAATGCTTGGAGATTGATTGATTGACTGACTGTACCTTGAGGATAATTTAAGCAAATACTTTCATTTTGTAGATAAAGAAACTGAGGCCTAGTGGGCCAAGTCTGCTTAATTATTAAGCCTTCTCTAGCCACACTCTGTGACCTAGAAGTGGTAGATGGTGTGGCTAATCAATGGTTGGGGATTATCAAATAAAAAAGGACCAGTAAGTCTTTCCTTCCAAAGAGCATTGCACTAAAGTGGCTTACTAAAGAATCCAGGATGGGCAGGGAATCCAATATGTCCAGGTGGAGGCTAATAGTCTAATGATTGGACCATCCAAGTGGGAGGCTGCCATCACAAGATTACTTACATTCCATTCCCTGAGACAATCTTACTCTGCTTTCATTCAACCCTCCCAGCAATGGAAGGAGCCAAAGAAGAAGTGATGTTTGCATCCTGTACACTGTGTACAATTCAAGCCATCCCTGAAGTTTTTTTTTTTACTTTAAATTCACAGTGGGGGGATATCCCCCAAAGATACTGAGAGCCCATAAGATTTCTAAGAGCATAATCTCCAGGATAACTCGCACAGGAAAAGCCAGAGATGGGTACAGAATGTAGGTAGGAAAAGTAACAGATGGTTCCAGCCTCAGGAACAAGGCTCTTGAACGGTTTCCAAACCCAGGGTTTGGTCACCAATCCAACAGAAAGCAATTAAGAAAAACAGAGCTCCAACTCCTCACTCCCTGCTTTATCAGAAAACAAAGCTCAGGTTTCAATCCTGCATGTTTGAATAAAATATGAAAACATCTTGTGGGAAAGCTGCTGTTATTTTTGCTTTCAGGTGAAGCCACTATTGTATAATAGAAAGGACGTTGAACTGGGGTCAGAAGACCTGGGTTCTTTCTAGTCCTTTCTCTGTCATTATCTGTATGTCCTTGGACAAGTCACTTATCTTCTCTGACCTTCAGTTTCATCATCTAAAAGTTCCAGTGCTAACATTCTATGACTATTTTTAGAATCAAACTGTCCTATGATTGATGCAAAACTGTTTTCAATGGAAATGAACCCATGGCTCTGTTCAGTAAGAGGATAGGTAACTAGATTCCAGTCAGGAGTTTGAGCATCATTTGAACTGGGTTGACCTCACTATTCACATGACAATTCTTCAGTCCTCTCCTTGCCATCACTCAACTCACCTGGTTACCAAGTGAGGACAGACAAAGGTAGCAAAGTGTCAGAACTGTAACAAATGCAGAGTCAAATGAAGAACCCTAGTCCCAGATGATCCCATTGAGTAGCACCTTTATCTCTATCCTGTCCTCCTCACCCATACAGTCATGAGGACTCCACAGTATCTAACACTTCCTAACAAATGTCTGTTGAATGAATGGATATGGCCATTTCCATGATAACTATTCATCTTTCAATTAGTGGTCAGGGGGTAGAACAGCAA